ACCCCAGCCCAGGGACCAGGCCCGTGCAATTCCAAAAACCCAGCCCTCTCCCCACCTCCCACCCTTCCTCCTTTCCTGGGATAGCTGCTGTCACCCAGTCCTCCGGCCCTCCGCCTCTCAGTAGACAAAGCCAGCCAGGAGCACACACTTCCTGTGGCCCTTCAAACAGCCAGGGAGACACCCTGGCCCTGTGCTGGACCTTGGGACAGGGACGGTGGCCCCAAAGGCGAAGGCAGCCTCAACTTTTCCAATCACTCCCAGGGAGGTTCTTGGGGAAGCGAAACCCTGACTCAGTCACCGTTTACAGAGCAAACTCGTGCCCTGCTGTTGCCGTTGTTGTGACTGACACGTGGGCTGTAGTGAAGGCCAGCAATGGGAGGTACCCCTGGCCAGGATTAGGCAGAATCCTCAAGTGGGGAAGGAGCGCCTGACTTCCTTGTCCTCTCTTCTCAGGCCTCATCGTCCTCCCCTACAGCCTCAGGCCCATTCGTGAGCCATCATCCACTTGATTGACTCCCTGTGGACCAGGCAGCAGCCCTGAGCTGGCGTCTCCTGGCCAGGGAGGAGAGACGGCAGGTAAACAGACAGGACCGGTCAGATCTATAGAGAGGGCGCCCTGAGACCACGGAGGGAGACGTGAGAACAACCTCTGAGACGCATTTGACAGGGTGCAGAGGAGCCTGTCTGGCTCAGGAGGGGAGAGATAAGTGCAAGAAAACAAAATATTAACCACTGTAGGAGCTTTGGTTTTGCATAACGCTTCCTACTAAATAATCCCATTTGATCCTCCAAACAACTCCGTGAAGTAGCGGAAGGCAGGCAGGATAGCCCTGGCCCGCAACAGGTGCCTCGTAAAAGTTTTCCAGGTGAATCAGTCTCCCTGTTACAGGGGCGGAGACGGAGGCTCCGAAGAAGATAATCTTTGTCCAGGATCACAGCACAGGAGTCAGGGAGCCGGGCGCCAACCTGGCCTCCGGCGCCGAGTCCCAGGTGCTTCCCACCGTGTCGTGTTTTCAATGAGGCCCACAGACCCCGGAGTCCTCTCGAGGGTACATACGCTCCCTTTGAAGGTCAAGTGCTGTGCTTATTCTGTTGACAATTTAACAGGCGAAACTGGGCATCTTCTGAGTCACCACGAGGACTCCTCATGGCCAAGTACACAGAGGGGCTGGTGCCACATCTGTGTCTGTGTCTACACACCGATCAGAGACACCGTGGAGCCCACTTTGTTGCTAACAAGGAAAGAAGAAGGAGTAGACTTGGTGCATGAATGAAGCTGGTCACCCCTGAAAGCCTAGGGCCCACTGTAAGCACCGGGGTTCCCAGGGGTCTGAACAGAGAAGCATAGAAGAAGGAACACGATAGCACCAGTCATGCTCAATGCAAAAATCCAACCCCATGGCAGAAATGAACATATTTATGTCGCCAGTGCCAATTGCATTTTTGCAAAACAACAACATTAGTCACGAATTAACCCAAACTGGCTTAAACAATAAAGGGAAATTTTTTTGGTTCCCACAGCTGAAAACTCCCAAGCCATTCTGACTTCAGGATCAGTTTGCTCAGGCCCAGCTCCATTGCTCTCTAAGTCTCGGCTCTGCCCTTCCCACGTGTCTGCCCTGACTGCAGGCTGGATGCAAGGTGTGCACCAGCAGGAACTGGGCCGGCCATGTGCTTCTTTATTCACATCTGGGGGCAGAGAGAAAGGACCTCTCCACAAACATGGAATGAAGGGCCCGGTCAACCTATAAACCTGGAGTCACATGCCCGGGTTTCGGGCTCAATCCCCAGTAGGGGGCGTGCAGGAGGCAGCCAATCAATGATTCTCTCTCATCATCAATGTTTCTATCTCTCTCTCCCTCTCCCTTCCTCTCTGAAATCAATTTAAAAATATATTTTAAGAAAACATTTTTAAAAAATGGGTCTTTCCTCTGAGCTGCTGACTTGGAGTTAAACAGTTAGGGAAAGCAATGAATCTCAGCTGGGTCCTTCCAGACACAGCTACAACCCTGTTGGGGCAGGTACACAAGAAAGGAAGGTTTGCTCATAGGTGACCAGTCCCTTAGCCAAAGTCAAGAGCAGGAGCAGCAGATGCACCACAATTCCATTTTCAGAGGCAGGAAAGGGGCAGGTGGAGGTCACAGAGCAGAAGGTGGGACAGCCGTCACTGTTTGCTTAAAACCCGTCTGCTCCTGGCTCTTTTTCTTCCAACCGCAGAGCCCCCACATCTCAAAGATGGGAGTGTCTTTAGCAGCAACCCTCACCCCATTTCACGCAGTGATCTCAGATATACTGAGAATTCTCCAGAGCTTCCTTCCTTGGGCCCATAGTCACTAAGCATCTACCCTGTGTCAGGGTCGGGGCTAGGTTACGGGACTTCAAACATTCTAGGGGTCTGACCCAGGAGTGCACAGATATACACCCTTAGGACGTGAATATTCCGGGTAAATGTCCAAAGCCCGATCTGCACACTCCTGCCGTCTTTCTTTCCCCTGAGCCCCGAATGAATGGGTCAGTTATGTCCCATTTGTTGAACCACAGCCATACATTTACAAACCTCAAAACGGAGCCTCTGTTCTGTGGGCTTCCTCATTTCCATTGTTATGTAGGTTAAACGTATGGGTCCCCTGCGGCTGCTTTTGGCCACCCTTACTTCCGGTCCCTCCACCCCACCCCTCACCCCTTCCCCGTCCAACCTGGAAGGGTGGCTGGTCTCCTGTTTCAGATCATTCTCCAGGCTGCCCCGACCTAGGCGATTTCCAGCTCCCTTAGGGGATCGCTCTCACACCCGTTGGGTAAACTCCTTGCTGGTGGGTGTGTGCACCTCACCTACAGTGCATGTGCTTTTTACATTGGCTTGACATTTGTTCCTGCTTTTCAGTCATTAGCAAAGGTGTTAACTAAAACCAGACCCGGTCATCCTGCTCTCTAGGGAAGCGCCCTCAGCCCCCCACTCTCCTCACTGGAGCTGTTTCTGGGTGTTTATGTCATTATCCTTCGTTTCTGATGATGGCCCAGCCAGTTATTGAGTCCATGTGACCACGTTCTCCTCCAGAGCTATCTGAGCTGGGCAGGGAGTAGTCATGGCGTGGCAGGCGGAGCAAAACCTTTTACCCGGTTCCAAGTCCTTCACTAAAGCCCTGGCCTCGCTCTCGCTTTGTCTTCTGCCGAGTCTCTTGAACTCGCTCCTTCCCATAAATCCTTGGTGACTTTATCCTTTCCAGATGTTGATGGATGTCCACTGTTAACATCTGTTTTATTACTATGACTATCCAATTGACTGGCCAGTAATTTCCACAATTAGCTTTCTCTTTTAGACATCAACACTATATTTATGGCCTCTTCTCAGGCTCTGCCTTTGATTTTCAACTCTTTTTAGATCCCCGATAATTTTCCACACTTTTTATACTTTAACCGAGGAGAGTGGGGCTCAGGGCACCATGGAGGTGACAGATCTGAGCCTTCACGGGGGTGTGGCTTATTCTGAATGTGGAGCAATTGTTGCTTAAATCTATGTTGCCCGTTCATTGTCCTGGATTTTTTTTAACCTCATTCAGATAGAGAAAACAATAATTTTAATGATATTAATTGTAGCTCTACTTCTCTAGAAGCCACTGATCTAGTCACTCAGGTGTCTATATATATAAAAGCCTAAGCAACCGAATGACCAGACTGGTCAT